CCGAATTTCGTCAACGCATCTTCTAGGTCAACCTCTGAAAAGCGATAAAATAGGAATAGTCTTTCAAACCGATGGAGTGTAATATTATTGATAATAAGTGTAAGAGGAAAACGTAGTAATTCAACAACATATCGGAAATTTGCGAAAAGAACGCCATCAGGACGAGGAAAGCTGGAAGGTTGCAAGATCGACAACGATACAAAGATAGTTATCGGATCGAATATTTGATTTATAGTCTCGTCTAGCATAAGTGTATAACGTGTAGCCGGTACGAGTGTATTTTTTAAAAAGCTTCCTTTCTTTATTGCTTACCTATCTTCAATACTTACTATACCAGGCAGGACAGACAATGGTGTGACTGTACTTTAACGGAACCCAGATAGAAATGCTACACACGAAACTGTCTATATCTTCGTAGCTTAAATTCCAAGTAATGGGAACGCAGATTATTACTAAATTAGTGTAACAGACAATATAGAATAAGTAACAAGGGCGGATAATGACTATCTTCAGGTGAAACCAAGGAATCAGTGCAAGATAGAGATAAATTAGTATCCCAACAAAATACGTGTTATTTACATTGAAAAAGATCTAATTCATGCGTATATATCAAAAAACGTATTACACATAAATAGATAGGGAAAAGATATATCATAGCAGTAGGCTTAAGGCGATAAGCACTGTTTTTATTTAGAGATATTTGCTCTAATTGCTTGCCCAATCGTTGCGTGTACTGTGGGAACGAACACGCAGATGCTCACAGCTAACCGAATTATTGTATAATTTTGCGTTAAAATCAAGGACCTCTTAGTAGACAACCATCAGCAATGAATAGAGCTATTGGAGAATTTTTTGAATAAAAAATTTCGGGAAAAATTGTACAGACATAATTCAATCAAACAAAGCTAACAAGACAATAATTTTAAAAGATGCAATACTCCGCATCTAAGTTAATCGAATTGAATTTAAAGGCACTGCGTTTCTGCAAATCATGCGTAGATAGCTTACTGCTTAGTTTATTGTTAATAGCTTCCTTGAAAGTATTGGCCCATAACCGCGATATATGGATTTACGCTGAAGACATAACCACTAATTGATGATCAGTTTCGTTCGCAGCGTAAATGACTTCTCAACGGTAGGGTCAACTTGGCCCGATAGCACTTGTGCATCTAAGCTTGCAGCATGAACAGCATACTTCTATGGATGCAAATTATTCGCGTTTAGTCCAGTAACTCGCAGGACTGAAAAGTGAGCGGAATAGCTGGAATAGAGAGTAATAGAGTCAATTGTGCCGATAGAATGAATGCACACGCAACATCGCGAAACATTGCCCTTCCCGTCTTGACGCCAAAACACAGCTTATCAAGATACCTAAAAGTCATTAAATCTTAAATTTTACTGTCACGGCAGGCAGATATATGATCTTGCTTAGCTAAAATCAGCCATCCATACAATTGTGCACTTCTTACAAATCATGTACAGTCAAACCTGTTTTTGTGCGGTTGATAGGGACCGCAGAAAAAAAACTGCACAAAAAAAAAATATTCAAAAACTTCATAAATAGCTATAAGAAATAATTTTTCACAGCATATTAAAGAAAATTTTTTTTATGCGGTAGAAAGGGACCGCATAAAAAAAGTCCCACTTAGAAAATATGTCAAAGCTTTACGAAATAGCAAGAAAGTGCTTTCCAAACAAAATAAATAATTAAATTAAACATTGAAACATTTAAAAAAATTTTAATTTTTAATTTTAAACAAGGAGAAATTTTCAAAATGTACATAATTCAATACTACTCGTCGTAGTTCAAAACGCGTATATTAATCCTGTCTTAATGGTTAAAAGGTCAGCAATTAACTAAAATGAAATGAACCTTACAAAATTTGGACCATCTACTCATACTTTTGAATCCTGCCCCCATGTAAGGATTAAACTTGCACTGTGGTAGGTTGCGTTTTGGGCCAGCTTCCTTATTAACGTGCACATGAACAATATACCTTTATATAGAAACAAAATATAATTTTTGTGTTCTATAATTTGTTAAAAAATAAAAACTTTTTACACTATGTGGTGAAGGATATTTAATCGCCGGCCTGAGCCGACTGTAATGTTCTTAGTTGCTTTTGTAGAACTATGTATTAGAAAAATATGAAGTATATGAGTGTAACGTCAAAGCTGAAGACTTACAAGTGCAAATGAGCCGTCAAGTCGGTATCAGTGTCCACGTTCATTAAGATTTCCTATGGCTTGTGGCGCATTTATCTGTCTATCTATTTCTTTCGACGATTTGCAAATATTTAACTTTGTGTAAGTGTCTGTAACTTCTAAGCAAGCCGAGTGAGATTTTTGATAACCTCCACTGAAGGATTAGGTCGGGCTCATTTCGTCAAAACGTTTGCAAAACTCAAAAGAAAGCTTCATAGACCTGATGCAATAGGTATGAAAATGGCTGTTGCAATGTGTACATACACACTGATAGCAAAAAAAGTGATGCCAACACAGTTCAGATTGACCTAACCTCTCGGCGAAATTCAATGTGTCGATATTCATATAAAAGAATCGCACAAAAAAAGAATCGCACAAAAAGAATCGCACAAAAAAAAGCGGCCAAAAAAATACCGCACAAAAACAGGTTTGACTGTATCCTCTTATTTGCGCACTTTCATAAAATTCTCTTTTGAAGATTATCCCAAATTTTCGTTTCTGATTTATGTATTTTAAAATAACTAGATTCGAATTAACTCTAGTGGGGTCATGTCCTTCATAACGATCTCAGTCGTTGAAAAGTCATGCGATATTTGCAGGGCGTTATTTGTCGGGACAATCTCCCGCCAAACCTTAAGAGCTGTTAGCAAAGATACCTTGAATAATCTATAAGTACATATTGACAATGATCTCTTATCCGCGGTAGGTTTTTTACACAAACTTTTTTACGAATTTGGTTTTGGAACGCTTTGTAGTTAAAAACAACGATTTTGAAATTGAATTGAACTTGACAATTTTACGAACGCGTTTTCGAATTCATTGCCGAACACATTATTATGTTCGTAGTTCTACGTAATTAGTATATGTCATCCCTGTTAGTTTAATTAGTTTTCCAAAGTTTCATAAAACTTTGTCATTACTTTGCTGGATATAAGTACCCGAGCGGTTATTTTTCTGCACCTACCATCCAAAAATGGTAGAATATCGATTTTGTCAAATGGCTTGCAACAGCCCGTAGAAGGTTTCAGAGATCATGTAAAATGTACATATTATTGATAAGTATCAAAATTTTGAATCGGTCTAATTGTGGCCCTCTGTCCGTCCATACGGTATTTAACATTACGTTAAAATGAAGATATCGGCTTCAAATTTGGGAAAAAAATATTAGAAGTTGTTGAACGTTTGTATCGAATGTCGGCATAATTGGTCTAAAAGCACGCCCAGAATGCAATATAAATTAAAAACATTTCTATTTCGAAGAGCAAAAAAATTGTGCTTTTGCTGGTTACTTATAAACTATTGCAAATACAACGATGCAAACTTGCGTATATATATTCTATGAACGATCATCGAGTATCTGCAAAAAAAATTCGCAAAAGCTCGATCTCGCCAACTTAATGTCATAGAATATTAGAATTTCATTTTCTTCAAGTTTTTCTCGAGACAAATATGGTCGCTATAGAAGATTCGTGTACCATTTTCTTATTCGTTTCTTTTTACTTTTAACAGTCACATATATACATATATATTATGCGTATAATTTGCTTTGTCCAACTATAAACTATGTAATTAAATTCCTTTTCAACTTATAATAATGAAGAATTATGGCGATTAAAATAGTCTAATAGCGCTGAGAAGGAAAAAATAATAATACTTCTCTGGCGTAACATATCCTGACGTTATGCATGATTTACAGTACATTACAAACTACTCAAGTTAAAGAATATATAATAAATAAAGGGTGCGAAGGGGAAAAAAAATAAAAATACAAATAAAGAGAATGGCAACGAACGACAAACAAGAAAAAGCTAGTCAACGAACGATATTAAATACGGAATATATAATATGCATATATTCCAGGAGTTAATTCAGACCTATTATGATTTAATAACAATAGCAACAGGAAGTTAAAACAACTTTAATAAAGAGCAACGCGTATAACACAAATATATATATATATATATATATATATATATATATACAGCTACTCTTATAACTAGGTCATAGACATCGGTCATATTATAAAATACTTATATTGCTTCGGTATGGATGTAAAACTCGTTAACACAATTTAAGGGGTTTTTTTTCCAAAAGAATGCGAACATATGTTATATACTGTTAACGTATTAAAAACTAAAGCATACTTTGAGGAGCTTGAAAACAAACGACTTTTATAGATGGAAACTAATTGCTTGAAATGAGGTTAGATTACCAAATTCATACATTAAAAATAAGTAGGCTTTTAAATGAACTAAAAAATGGTAAGCCTTGTAGATGCATACCGTGCACATTCACATTTGAGCAACGTGTGCGTGTCACTTTCCAATTCGCATTTGAATAAATATGTTTATTTTAATATGATTGCTTAAGTTGGGTGACGAAAATATTGCGATAAGGTATATAAATAAATTGCTAAATTATATTTAGCAAGCAATCTCCTTACTCCTTAGTACATATGTAATAAATTCTTATTCAACTACTTAGTCGTCTATAATAAATCGATAATAATGGAAAAATTCAATTTAAGCTACAAGTGATTTAAATAAATGCGAATTAGATAGATTGAGCAAAACCTTACTGACCAATGATGTCCAAATTTGACATAGTATACACAACGCAACATATTCTAAATGTAATTATTTTTAATTAAAGTAAAATGCGAGAAATTGCAAATTCGGATGCTACTATATTCCTATAAGCCGCTTAATCGCCCCTAATTCAATTTGGCGGGAAAGGTGTTCGTCCTTTTAAATCTTTGGTTTTTTTTTTTAAAGTAGTTTGTTTTCTGTTTGCAGTGTCGCGTCCTGCTTAATTTGCGCACTTCGCAGCCATTTGAAGAGGTGTTAGAAGATTTAGGTCAAGTACTAAAAATTAATGGAGCTAAAAAAATGTATACAGGAACGGGGCAAGAGGTAAACTAACTATGAAGAATTTTTCAAATAATCAATTCTGTTACATAAAATGTGAACGTGCACTGCTTATAGGTGCGCAGTTTCTCTCAATTGCGCAATGAGTTTGCCGATGTGGATACTTTTTATTTAGCTACGGGGACTGCGTTAATTGCCGGTTCACCTATACGAAGATCACGTTCAAGACCGTCAGTTGTGGCTGCCGCCCCTGTGCTTCCAACAGAGGATGTTCAGAAAGTTCCTTTACGTGGTGCTCGACCACGCAGTAAGTCGCGTCCTCGTATATTGTATGCGCCCGAAAGTGAAATTTTACGCACAAACGGTGAATATACCATGTTGGATATTATGAAAGAGGACCCCACAAAAGTAACTATAAGAGGTCTAAGGCGCACTTTTTATCCACCAGCACATCATGCACCCGCAGATAATACACCGCCAGATAAAAAACTACAGCTACAATGGGTGTAAGTGATACGCAAAAACGAAATTCAAGTTCTTCAAAGGTTAACTTCTAATGTATTTTCATAGTCACGGTTATCGTGGTATTGATGCCAGACGTAATCTTTGGGTTTTGCCATCCGGCGAACTATTGTATTACGTGGCTGCCGTAGCTATTTTATTAGATCGAGATGAAGATGCACAACGACATTATATTGGCCACACCGAGGACATTATGTGGTAAGATCTTACTTTGTTATTTAAAATATAATAGGTTGGAGGGAAAGTTCTGTCGTATTTTATTCATGTACTTTGCTTTAACATAAAACCCAAAACCGATTTAATGTGATCTACAACAGTTGTATGATGAATGCCTAACTCTTCTGCAATTTCTCGACAAATTAAATGTGTGTAAGGCTCAGATCCCCGGAATGAAATTTGCTAAACCAACTCTCACAAATACGAACATTTACAATATCTTTTCCAAATACCGCAAATAAATTTTTACACGCAACCGATGCGTTGCTTCCTTCTTGATATTCATACAAACTGCAGTGTCGTAAATGCACTTTATCTACTGACATGATTTTTTTCACTTTAAATATCGCAAGTAAATAATGAACGGTAAAAAAAGATTTCTTTTGCATTATACAGCAGCTAAAAAAAAAAACAAAAAAAACCCGAATAACTGACTAGACAGATGTTTTTTTTATTTATTAGAAAAATTACCTGCCTATTTGAAATACGACAGAACTTTCCCTCCAACCTAATATATATACATTTCTTTTTGTCGATCAAAAAGCATGGACATTCATCCATCACGGGAACTAGTGGCTTCGGGGCAAAAAGCTGGCCGTGACCGCAAATCCCAGGCTCATGTACGTATTTGGAGTACCGAATCCCTGCAGACTCTTTACGTTTTCGGCATGGGTGAACTAGATATGGGTGTCACCGCGGTGGCTTTTTCACAACTGGTAAAAACAGCATAATAATTTCCTGCTAATCAGTTGTATTGAACATTAATCTTTTAGAATGGAGGCAGCTACATATTGGCAGTAGACAGTGGACGTGAAAGTATACTCTCCGTCTGGCAATGGCAATGGGGCCATTTATTGGGTAAAGTAGCAGTAAGTGCTAATGTTAAATCAACAAATTTTATTCCACAATATTTAAGATGCAAATAAATTTTTGTAGACTTTACAAGAGGGCTTGTCCGGAGCGGCTTTTCATCCATTGGATGATAATTTAATAATAACTCATGGACGCGGGCATTTAGCATTTTGGCATAGACGTAAAGATGGTTTTTTTGAGCGTACTGACATAGTGAAGCAGCCATCAAGATCTCACGTTACCTCAGTGCAATTTGAACCGGACGGTGATGTTATCACCGCCGACTCAGACGGTTTCATAACAATTTATTCGGTAGATTCAGACGGAGCTTATTTCGTACGGACTGAATTTGAAGCGCACACCAAAGGTATTGGTTGCTTAATTATGTTGGGCGAAGGTACTTTATTATCAGGTGGCGAAAAAGATCGCAAAATAGCAGCGTGGGACTCCTTACAGAATTATAAAAAAATTGCTGACACCAAGGTAATGTATATATAAAGAAATTTTGATAAAAGAATAAACAAGAAATAAAGGGATTTTATTTAGCTACCAGAATCCGCTGGCGGAGTACGCACCATTTATCCCCAACGTCCTGGCCGTAATGATGGCAACATTTACGTGGGCACTACACGAAATAATATACTTGAGGGATCCCTACAGAGGCGATTCACACAAGTCGTTTTCGGCCACGGTCGCCAGTTGTGGGGCTTAGCAGCCCATCCAGAAGATGAACTCTTCGCTACTGCCGGCCACGATAAACATATAGCTTTGTGGCGTAAGAGCAAATTAATATGGACCATTCAGACGGGATATGAATGCGTATCATTGGCTTTTCATCCGTTTGGTACGGCCCTAGCTGCAGGCAGCACCGAGGGTCATCTATTGGTTATCAATTGTGAAAATGGAGCCGTTATGTTAACTTTACGCGTGTGCGGTTCACCTATTAACTGTGTAGCTTACAATCAAGGTACAATCAAAGTGGAGACATATTTTTATAACACAGGCAAAATAATGAATCAAGCAATATCTCTGTTTGAAATGATTTCAGTGGGTGATATGATCGCCATGGGTTCACAAAACGGTAGCATTTATTTGTTTCGTGTATCACGTGATGGATTTTCTTATAAAAAAGTAAACAAGATACGTGGTTCTCAGCCTTTGACACATCTAGACTGGAGTATGGATGGAAATTTCGTTCAAACGGTTACCATAGATTTTGATCTGTTATTCTGGGATGCTAAGTCGCTATCACCCGAACGAAGTCCAATTGCCATGAAAGATGTAAAATGGTTAAGCAGTAATTGTACAGTTGGCTATTTAGTTGCTGGCATGTGGAGCAACCGTTATTACAGTAATTCAAACACAATAATTACAACCTGTAGCCGCTCAGCCTCTCAAGATATGTTAATATCTGGGGATGCTGACGGTTATATAAGATTATTTAGGTAAGAAATTTGATGTCAGTATCCAACATATCAACAGAAAGTGCACTGACTTTGCTAACTGACTTTATTATAATCATATAAACTGTATAAACCAAATCTCGTCTGCAATGTTGCCTTTCATAGTTTGATGTTCCCTAAAATTGAAGCCAGGATCTAAGCACTTTAAGGAGTGTGTTTAAAAACGTTTCTCTACAAAAAAATTTTTTATATACAAGCTTTTGAAATAATTTTCAATTCAAAAGTTTTCGGTGCAGCTAATTACGAATGTAACTAGCGTAGACACAAACTAGCTATCATAATATAGTTCCCATTCGAAGTTGACAAGTCATTGTTAGCAAAATCGTTATATATTGTAAGATAGAACATTTCATTAAAAACATTTTTGCATTAAAATTATTACGTGCTGGACGAAACCAAGTGAAAGCACTCGCAAGTACACACAAATATTTCTACTATAGCGTTAATGAGCTGCGCACAGGTCTATTCGATACATTCTACTATCGCACGAGAACTTCCGCGGTGCGTAGGCTTGCACATATTTGTCGGACAAAAATCATCAATCATGTTCATTTCACTTTTTTTTCACTCTCTTGCGATCTTTCGTAGCATTTGCTTACAAAATTAACAATTGTGTTAATTTACTATACAATAATTTTGATGCAGAAATGTTTCAAACGAAATATTCCACATTATGATGTAAAACGTTTTTGGGTGTAATGTTAAGTTGACGTCCAGCCCACAAATTTAATAGTCAGCGTCAAAAATAGTGCCAGAGTGATGTTGAAAAGGGTTAAAGAATTTCGACATTTTTGAATAATGAATTTTAATGGAACAAAATTTGAGTAAAGAAACCATTACCCTCTCCAAATAGGTTACGTGCAGTAGACACTGATCGAAAATCGATTAAAATCTTTCATCTTCTTCGCCTTTCTCTCTCTCTCTCTCTCTCTCACACACGCACATGCACACATACAAACACATGCCTGCACTTTTTTCCCCTTTCTCTCACACCTACGTATATTAGGAATATATAATGATGTCACCGATATTTTCGATAGATATCCCTGCATGAGCCCTAGAGCTGAATTTCATGAAGCTAAGGTGTATTCGGGGATGGTGGCTTGCGCTCGTTTCTTATACGGCGATCATACCATTGTTACTGTAGGTGGTACCGATGCCTCTTTGATGGTGTGGGATTTAATAGAAGAATAGCTGAAATGGCCACCGTGGCGCGCTCCTGCACAATACGAGGCTCGCTATGCGGATTATTGGTCTCAAAGACGCAGCTCCAAACAATCTTCTACATTTGTGGATAGTGATTCTTTGGAGTATCAATAGCTTGAAGAGAGCATTCTATTTATGCAAGATGTATTGATTGCTCTTCCATTTATAATTAGTTTATGAAAAATGTTTTTAGAGATATTCGAAAAATTAAAAAAATTGCATTATTGGAAAATTTTAAAATTCTCTTATTGGCTTTTAATGTTGTTTGGTAGTCAAAAAAAAAAAAAAAAACCCTACTTACATATAACCATTTAAGTTGAAAACACAAATTGATTGTCGTTGCTCTTCCTAATCTTGATTAAAATGTTATAAATCATTTCTTCCAGAGAAAAATTCAGAAATGTAGTTCCATTCCTAATGTTATCATTTTTTTTTTTTTTTCCTTTCTTTATGATCCATCTAAATTATTAAGAAAACAAAGACGCCTTTCATCATTCAAAATCTACGTCTCTTTACTGTATACTCTTGCTTTAATGATTACAAGCCACTGGTGAATTTAGAAATAAACTGTTTTATACATCATCTCATGTTAAACTTGACATTAAAACTGCAAAATCTTTTTATGTGTTAAATAATGCAAAGAAATACACTGATAAGGCATTAACGAAAAACTTCTTTAAAAAAATTTAGTATTAAATCAAATAAAAATTGTTGTCATTAAATGTAGAAATCTTTTCGAAATGAAACCTTAATAAATTGAAAAAATTATCAACCTGTTGTCTCCTTTTTTAACAAGTTTTGAAAACAAGCACATTCCTGTATAACTTTACTTTTCGCTATTAGTACGTGTTTACTGTAACATAAATAATAACATACCTATAGACTTGAATTAATAACATACCTAACATACTTCTCACTTGACTAAACAGCAGAACAGTCCACGGTACAGAACATCAATAAAGGGACAAAATTATTATTATTATTGTTGACCAAAGTTGACGTTTTACACAGATTGTATACAATAATCATGGCGTGAACAGATAATTGCCTGACGGGCAAGCAGTAATTATGCTGATTAAAGGTATTGAGACACAACTAATTTCTTCAGATTCCATAACTATTTTCTTCACTTGAAATTCTCCAAATTTAACAAGAGCACCATAAAAAAGCGCGCTTTTTTAAATATTAAACACTACACACAATGATTTCTATTTTTTTGGTTCTTGCGCAAAATAAATCACAAAATTAATTAAACACATAACTAGCTTACATTGCTAAAGCAAAACCATATGACTAGATTTTATTTACGCGCAAAGCTAAAAGCAAACACAACGCACAACGCAAAATTAGTTGAACGCATAGTTTGCATGCGGTGCTAAAGCAAAATCATATGGCTAGCGTTTGTTAGATAAATATTTATGAAGTGCAAAATTAATAGAATTAAAAATTCGTTTGAATAATGGCTTTTTTGAAGCAAAACGCAATTAATAAAACAATAAAAAAAATATTTACTTGCATGGGAATAAATAACAATACACTTTTCTGCCCTTTTTTTTAATAAAAATGTAAATCAGTGCTTTGAAATCACATTGTGCCTGGTTAATATATATCATGACATACTATATGGTTTTGCTCAGCTTTCATTAATAAATCTCTGTTTTGCGTGTCAGTGGCGATGTCATAAGACATTTAAAAGTTTGCAAAAATTTGTACAATAAACAAAACAAGCTATAAACACGTACAATATATATCGTTTTGACAGTTCTCGCATTAAGCAAGCGTTTGCAATTTAATCGTTGCTTAATAATAGTAAGCGGATTTAAAATTTCTTGTGCATAAGCAGAAAAAGTGCTACAAAATAAACATAACAATTTTGACACATAGAATATCAAAATTTAGGAAGAAAAAAAAAAAAAACTAGCAAAACTAAAGAAAGATAGCATAAAAGATTTTGTTCCGGTTAATTAATAATTGTCGGCAGTTCTCTTCCAATTAGTTGTCATTTTTATTATGATCTATGTCTGATGTTCTTAATAAAAATTGAATTGCATTGAAAGAGCATAAATAGCGACGAGCGAACCGTTTAAGCATAATTAAAAGCGCAACGCCATTTAATATTAATATGAAGCAATGTAATCGAAATGGGCAGTAAGTGAATTAAAATTTTATAATTTTTAGTTATCTTTGGACACTTATTATCTCTTTTTCTTATTTCTACTGTATTTAGAATAATCTGATCGATGTGCCCGATCGTTTGTTTCTTGCCAGCCATTTTAAGGTGGCTCGTTTTTACCCCCAAAATATTTGTCAAGTCAGTTTGATATGTATTTAGAATTGAATTGAAAAAAAAAAATTAATAGCAATCTATATAAACTATATAATGATAATGCTAACGTATAATAAAGATGTTCATTTAATTTGGTTTCCATTCCCGTTGCAGGTATCAAAATATACGGACGAATAATATTCTCTAGAATTTTCTGCTATTCGGAAAATTCTGGACAATCGCATTCTGAAACGAATAAATGCTGTTTAGAGAATTTTCTTGGGTGTAAAGAAAACATTTTTTCTTTGCTGAAAAACAGGAAGATAGAGATTATTTACGTCATGTTACAGCTGGTGAACATTATCGTTTCGTTACATATACAATACTTTTTTTTAGCGCTATTAATAATTAAATTAAAGCTGGTCATTCCGCAATAACCATTACGGTACATATGATCGGATACATTTACGGCTATTGCACCTATAATCAGTATATAGTAGCATATGTTTACTTCTCAATTTTTTAAATTGCTAAACGTTTGTTCTTCACTTATTCAGAATGTTTTTCATAACGTTGTTTCGGGCTTCCGTGATAAGCCCAATCGCTTGCAGAACTCAAACCGAATGTAAATTCACAATTCACGAGGATACTCGCGAAGGTTGAGAATCCTGCATACGTTTCTCTCCCAACTTCATATTCTAATTCTATAATTATGCCTTGTAGTTGGGATCGTAATATAGAAATTGGAAATTCAGCTATTTGCGCAAATTGATAGCAATAATGGTTAAAATACTTGGTGCTTCGATAACACTATCAATGTCTAGCAAGTCTCTGTATTAACCCGTTAAGTATCCAAAGGTACAAAGGTGAACGCGTTTCTGCAAATACACAATGTACGAATAAAATGATTACTTCTTCATTGTATAAATGAATAAATAACAAGAAAAAAACTTAAAAATGAGATTGGATTTTATATGTAATTCGTATGTAATTATTAAATATACTGTGACTTGAGAAGTTCCAATAAAATTTGGTGCAGCCTTCGCTTAGAAACCGAGATGACCGGTTCACAATAAAATGTATTGTTTGACAAAATTGATACAATTTCGGCAATCGTAATCGATGATCTTGAATACATAGCTATGAACGTTTAAAAATTTGCAGTACGTATATGGTTTGTATGGTGGTCAAGAACAACGGGTGAAAGACAATACAGATGATAATTTAATCATCCAAATATTTTTATAAAGCTCAGCTGCAGCGAGATTACAAATTAACAAGAATACCAGTAAAGCCATTAAGACTGCAACTAAATTCATGTCACCATTAAGGAAGCTTTGCTTACTAGGAACTATTTGTTATTCGAGATTAAAGCGAGCGACGAACGGAAATCTCAAAAAACGTCGTTCTATTAATAATAGTAATTCCTGCCAAAAGGCTCAACTCCCGAAATTAATTGTTACTGAATATACTACCGATGAGAGCAATGACACTGACGTAGACGGCGATGCGTTTCAAAAATGCATCGAACCAAAATCGAAACGATCTATTTTACAATTATGCATTGGCAGCACAAGCACCGTCAGTACTACTCGTCTTAGGCGCATTAAGCGGGCGCAGAAATGCTTTAGCGATGAAAATGCAGATCTTTGCAAACAACAGAGCAATAAACATGTAACCCCAAATAAACCGCAAAACATGACACACAGTACGTTCGTCTACTTGACGCAAACTGCAATAGACGATGGTGCTACTATTACTAGAAGCGAATAACATTCGCCAGCCATTTGCAGCTCTAATCGCAAGTTGGCCGCAAAGAACTTGGTAGCACTTATTTAAAATGAATTTAATGTTCAATGTTTAATTTCTTATATTTTCATTGCACTTGTCTTGTTTCTTAGTCAGATCAGTTTTGTGTTGTGTCAAACTTTTATTTTGACTCATTTTTTATCGATTACTTTATCAATAAGCTTTTTGATAATGTAAATTTTTTAAATAATATCTTAACGTCTTCTTTTTTTTGTAGCAAAAATAATGTTGAAAGAATCTTGAAAGAAGCCAGTTTTCCTAAAAATATTATCTTGTAGCTATCAAGGATTTAAGTTGACACTGTATTGTTAAATGTCCAGTAAGGTTAAATCACCGGTCTTTTTTTAACCAATTTTATTTAATCTACCCGATAAATTACTAAACCATTAATGTTTCTATATAACCTTATGATATTTTTGTACCAAGTTATTCATATCAGAAACTTTGTTAAATGAAAACGAGGTTTAGAACATATCAAAAAAAAAAGATGAAATTTTTAGAAAAAAGAAGTACTAGAATGAATAAAAGTACAAGTTGACGACAAACACAATTCCTTTGTAAATGTTGTCCACTGGGTTAGTAATCTGCAGATGCGCAATTATTTTCATATATAACCTTGCCCAAATCCTTGCGTCAAAAGACCCTAAACAACCTTCCATGCTCTAGACTGCAACATCTTCAACAAACCAAAAAATTCTTATTGCAGAAATACAAAATAGTCTGCAGGTTTTTCTTCACCAATTTGCACAATTTTTTTTTCTCATCAAAACAGAGATATTCTCGTACTCTAAATTAGGTTTCTAAACAGCGAGTCAATTCTTACTGATGAAAGTCATTATTACACCCAGCACCGAAAGATGGGGGCTACATTCATTTTGTCGAAACGTTGGCAACGCCCACAAGAAAACTTCAGAGACCCCACAAAGTATCTATACAAACTTGATTAGCATCATATTCTGAATCGATTTAAGCATGTTCGTCCGTCTGTGGTAAACATTCTCCTGGCTGCAAAAATGAAGTTCTCGACTTCAAACTTGGCAAAAACAGTGGAAATTCTTGCAAGCAGATTTTCGTTGACAATGAGCTAAATCGGTTTATGGAAACGCCTACAGTACCACGTAAACTAAAAATATCTCAATTTTCCAAAAAAAAAAAAAATTGACTTCTTACACATTACTCATAAACTATAGCAGATAAATCTGCAACAATTTGAAAGTATATCCTATAGGTGATGCTGTAACACCTGCACAAAAATGGGAAAAATTAACCAAGCCCACCCTATATTGTGGTTTATTAAAATTTTTTTTTTTCAATAACTTTATAAGGCCCAGAACAATGCCTCAAAAAACCCGTAAGTTATGTACATTCTTCACCATTGTTAAGTTCGGAATGCATCTAAGCACGTCCGTCTAACTATGTAGCTCCTGTGGTAAACATTGTCCCGGTCGCGAAAGTGAAGATATCGCCTACGAATTTGGAAAAGAATTTGAAAACTGCGCAAACCTATCAAAGGACTTAGCTTTAACGGGAATTTTACACAATTCCATACAGTGCCTGTAATACTAAATAAACAACCATTAAAACGCTGACATAAAGATTGCGTTAAGTGTATGCGCCACGCATAGTTGAACAAGTAGCTTGCTTGCGTTGCTAAGGAAAAATTATACGTGTGTGAAAAATTTCGTTAAAAAGGATTTTTTAAAACAAAATATACATATACATGCAAGTTTACTTTAATAAAAAAAAAATATAAAAAATAAAAACAATATTCATTTATAGTGGAAAAAAAGGTACTCATGCAAACATAAATCAATTTAATTTTCTTTTATTCATAATAATTTAACATATGTCTCTCAATTTAATTACATTTTTCCACCATTTTTTTCGTTTTAATAATGATTTTTTTGTTATTAAATGGAAATAACCACTACAAAGACTAAAATATTAATATTATGTTTTGTTTTCACGAAATTTATCTTTCGTTGGGTAGTAAAATCCACCCACGCAGAAAGTTTAAAAATTTGCCAATAATTTACTCCCACGCACAGCGAAATGTGAGTTACACGTTCGTCTACATTTAAATACGCACAACCACTTTTACTTTGACAATTTGTGCGTCACGCACAATGCATCACGTAATCATTGCGTTCTGCACATAAGATTTTTGACTAACCGTCAACCTTTCATAAGCATAGAACGATTGAGGCCTTTTGTGATGAATGAAGCTGCCCCGTTGTAATGCATTTGAAACAAGTGAAAATCCCAATAATCTCAGTCATTTGCAACATTCTACATGTTTGGCTTTGTATGAACTTTCCTCTCCCCCAAAACTTAAAGAAATATGTATGTATATTTATACCTTTTCAGCTAAAGAAGCTAGTATCCGAATATTTCCCCACTTTATTCTCCAAGATTTAAAAAAAAAGTAATCATAATTCAACTAAAAGAAACCATAATTCAAGAAACAGTTATTCTTAACATTTCCTTCAAAAAAATTTTTAAGTGTTTGCGATTGTTCATCGATTTAAATTTATTTGATTAGCTTAAGATTTTTCTGGAAACTTACTTACAGTCTTATTCAGGATGTTTGTGCAAAGTAGGGTAACAGAACAACAGCTATAAATTTTGGTCTTATTATTTTGAATGTATGCATTTAGTTCTATTCTTTCACTCAAGTAAGGTTTGTTAATTATATACTTACTCACTTCGATTTACTTATTTTTTATCAATAATTTACAAATCATGTAGTTGAGTAAACTCTTTTTTTCTTCAGCAATCTACTTAACGAAAACGTCATCCGTATGAAAATTTTTCTCTGATTGGTAATCACGTCTACTCATTTGATATAAAATCATACTCCTGGCAACACCGCTTTTTGATGACAAAAAACCGAAATTAGGAAGAAATAGTAAAAAAATATATAAAATACATTTGTCTGTGCTGTGCTTCATTCCTGTTTCAATTTTTATCCGTGGAGGATGCCTTCTGCTTCGAACAACAACAATACTAATACTACAAAACTGGTGAAACAAACCTCCGTGAATTTGGTCAATTCTGGAGGTGTCAGTGGATCTGGAAATAAAACATCTGCTGGTAGTGGTATTAAGACTACTGAGAATGCAACAAAATCTAATACTACCACAACCAACGAGACATGTAGTACTAAAGTTGTTAAAGAAAAATCTAATATGGAAAATTCTTCTGCAACAAACTTAGCAGCACCAATTGCTCATAAGGATGCAGCTAACGATGCTTTGAATCCGATGAAACTGACTTTTACCACGATCGAGCATAAAATACGCAACTTGGAAAAACGAAAGGTAGGTTTTAAAAGAAGAGGGTGGGAACGCACACACATCATAAGGCGCACATACTCATATTTTTTACTTCAAAAGAACAAAAAAGAAATGTATGGGCGATATGGCTTTTGTCTCCATCAATTTCAATGAACCGGCGTCATGATTTGCTAAATATTCAACTTCGTGAAAATACGTCCATGCAGCAAGTCTGTCCGAATTTCAGAAATTACGTAGGTAAAAAAAATTAGGACAAAGGATTGAATTCTTCGTTCTTTTGTTTCATACTTTCCACCATTTTTTTTTTCTCCAATTGCGCTCTTTGTTGTAATTCCTTGGGTTTTTTTTTTGCGAGGCCGCCATATTTGTTACAGTATTGCCATATAACTCGAATATTACCTTTTTTTTTCTTCAGTTGAAATTATTGCAAATGCCATTAAAGATGACTTATATTAATTGCATTTTAAAAGTTAATGTTACGATGCACAAAGTTCATAAACTGGCGTATTTCTTGATCTGGCAAGACAGTTTCGTATGTGCGTACTTATTAATGGTTTTTCTTTTTTATCTTTCGTTTGTTACGGTATTTTTATTTTTCGTTTTCCATCATTCCGTTTCCACCATCTACGTTAACCATGCATATTTAGTGTAGAAATTCAACTTACCCAAATTCAGTTTACCCAAAGTATACCTTTTAATAGGGAATAGTGCAAAAGTGCAAGAAAAAACAAAATTTGGGTGAAATCTTTGCGAACACATCTAATGATAGAATAATTCTAATAAGCTATGTGTCTGTATATATTTGCTCTTGCAGACTAAACTGGAAAGTTATCGCTCTATACAGGCCTCAGGTAAAGAACTCAGCTCGGATCAGCGTGCCGCCGTTGCTAAATATGATGCCGTTATAGCTACTTTGGAGTTCGCTCGGGACCTTGTAAAGCAAATGCAGCAATTCACTAAGGATGCCGAAAAAGAGCAGAAGAAACAGGCCCGCAAAGTATGTGTACTTTTTATTTTTATAGGTTATCGCCCATAAACGTAAGATTTTGGGTCAATTTATTCCAATCTGGGTCTGCGTTTGTGAAGACACAGTCGTAGATTAAAAACTTCCGGCTAAGAAAATTGTCTTATGAGCTCACAGGAGACTTTAATGTAAAATGTGCTTTTAGTACTTCAAAACTCATAGATCGCTTGCACGTTGATGTTTAAGACAGTAGCACTACAAACTTTTTGCAAAAACACAATAAATGAAATAGAAATCAAATGAAATTAAACAAAAGAAACGAATAAAAAAATAAATGAAATAATTGAAGTGTAATGGCGGCTCAAGACAGGCTCTAAATTTATTAACAATTGTTTGTTTAATGCAAATTTATTGTAAAATTCATCTCTCCCTTAGGATACGATTGCCAAAGCTCATGCAGAGACTGTGAAGATCCGCGAAGTATTAATTATACAAAACATCTTATCTTGCTTTACGGATGATGCAGTGCGCAACGATTTTCTTAGCGGAGAGAACGGGGCCACTAAACTCCAAGGTTCTGATTTAGCAATAGTAGAGAAATTGTAAGTTCTAAGTCATATCAGTTATTTTTTGACGTCTTATGCATTGTTTTCTAATTAGCTGCTTTGATGTCCAAACCCGGCGGCCGGAAACATCGGAAGACGTTCCTTTTGCTACAACAGCTCAAAAAGCGGCCGAAGTATTTTCTATGACCATAGATGGACGACCTAAGCAGTATGGTGAGACTACTTACGAGAATGTACGTCGCATTTTTCAGCGCATACAAGAATCAAATTACCTGGATAAAATTTATTTGACCGATATACCCGAGCCAGAAAATAATGCCGCCGAGGATGAGTCATTAGTTGAACAAATTGTCTCGGATAATGAAGAAACATTACAAAATCAGGATAAAGAAATTTCGCCTAAAGAGGGCGTTGAAAAATTAATATGTGATGCGGCACCGGTTAGCGGAGCAAGTGAAACTCTTGAAACAGCATTAGTAACTTCTCAGACACAACCAAAAATCGGCGAACAACCGGAAGTACAGCAAAAGCAGTCACAACAGTCGCAATCTACTGCAATATCGAGTTTGTCGGGAACTCACGGACAGCCTATAGTGCAAACACCAATGGCTCCACCTGCTACGGCTGTACCAGCATTTCAAGCAGGCCCGACACCCCAAGCTCCTTCGGGGGCTACTACTCCCGTTCATGTGACAATGTTTTCCCATCAAGCTTTACAAGCACCTACACAACAAGTAACGCAGCTTACCGGGTCTGGTTTAATATCGGGAGTTCCTCAAAGTCAAACTGGGCAAATTTTACCAGGCATACCTAATCAACAAACAGCTGCTCAGCAACCAAATAAACGGCGTCAAATGTTAAATAGCCCTGCTGGGGGAGCTTCGGGAACTGTACCGCCAATTCAGCATATGCAAGGTAGTGCAACGGAACAGGCACCTCCCCCTGGTCATTTTAATCCGCCTACTGTTCATACGGTGGAGCAAAGCTTTTTCAAACAGCATCCACAGCAGCAACATCATCAATTTCTGCAGCAAATTCGGCCCTTAGCCGAAGTTATTGGTGGTGGTAATTTCTACTTTCTGCAAGATAGCGAACTAGATTCGCCCGATTTAAATGTGGGTCAAGCGGTAGTTGGGCCGCAACAGAATAGCATAATATTCGATCAACAACCGCCACAACAACAGCAAACATCACAAGCACAGGCCAATCCAATTAATCAGCAACTGACACAGCAAAAGTCACCACAGCAGGCACAAAATCTTCTAAATCACAATGAACAGGATTCTCAGACTTGCGCACCAAAGCAACAGCAAACACCGTTAGGTACACAACAGATTACGCAGCATGCACAGCCATTGCCACCGCCATCACAACAGCCGCAGTCGCTTCAAACTCATATACAATCCCAAACATTCACAAATCAATCATTCCCACAAATAACACCACAGGCTAACTTAGGTAGTAACACGGCGAGTCCATTGTTCCAGCCACAAAAACCACCTACTAACGCTCAACAGCTGTTCTCACCAGTTGCACAAGCTTTACAACCATCGCAGCAGCAACCGCCGCAATTAATGTTGGTTAACGAACAACAACCACAGCAACCAATGATGATTATGGCACGATTGGGTGCAACTCAAGGAACTACAATGTTACCACAACAAACTTTAAATCAACCACCACAATCCCAGTTAACTCCCACTTCACATAATTTAGTAAGCGGCAGTGGCATTCAGTCACATCAGCCATCACTATCAACAGTTGATGTTAATCCTACTTCCAAGAATTCCGGATTTCCTTTTGAAAATCCGGTGGTTACAGGTTTGACCTCATATGACCAGCAAATACCACAACAATTGCCTGCTTCAGCAGAAGAGCAAAGCAAAATAAACTCCCAAAATGCCATAATTAAAGTAGACATTATTACTGAATGGGGCGATTCTAATCTGAAGAACAGCTCTGCTGTTTTATCGCCCAATGCAAATGTTGATTTGAAGCCAGCTGTAATTGAAGGGAGCACTTGGAGTAGTGAGTTAAATGCAAACGCAAATACTAGTAATGCTATTGCGCAACAGCAACAACAAACACGCAAAAATGAATGGACTTCATCATCAGCCGCTGCAGCTGGTGATGCCAGTGGTTATGGGAGTGATAATCGCCCTGAAACCAATCATTGGCATTCGCAGCCAGAATCGGGGGGCTATGGCCGAGGTTCACGGACAACTGGCAACAGCGGAGGAAACTACCCTCGTAGAAGTGATGATAGACGTCCCGGTGGTAGCATGGGCAGTTATCGCGGTAGTCGTTCCAATTACGGTCAGGCAGGTCAATCAAACGGTAGTGGCTCACGTGGTGGTGGCAGTGGTGCCATGTACTTCCGCAATCATGATAATTCCAACAATAGTTCGTATTACCAAAATGGCAGCGGCGGTGCTAGTGGAGGAGCCAGTGGAGCTAGTGTGTACGGCGCCAATAAGGACTCTCGTTATGATACAGGATCAGGAGGAGGGAACAATTACCGAGGTCCTAGGGGTGGTACTAGCAGTGGACCGAACACTCGCAACAATGGACCACCACCTCGATCTTTGGGCACTAGTCGCAATCCCGGCGGCGGTATAAGCAGTACTAGCTCTTCAGCCTCTTACATAAATTCGCGGCAGTCCACTAATCGTATGTCGTTAGGTTTGGAAAACAAAAACTAAATTATATTTGTTACTGAAAATTTGCTCCTACCCCCAGCGAATCGCAATGCATTCTTATACAAGCAAATAATACAAAAACCAATAAATATGTAGGATTAATTTGAGAACTTTTATCACAAAAGAAGAAAAGCAACATTAAAAATTATTCTGTTAGAGACTAAATCAAGGTAACAATTCGTTTAATCCTTTTTTCTTTTTCCCCCTCTCGCTCCTTTCCAAGTTTTCTCTTTTTCATTTTTAAATGATGGAAGGATTATATTGCAAGATCTGACCAAAGCAACCGTTGAAAAGAAAGCAAAATTCTATTAGTCCTATGGTACAATTGTTACGCCTGTTGAAAACGAAGCAGAAGGCAGACAAATTTTCTTCACATTTTCCGCTCTCGTCATACAAAGAAACAAACCAATACACCCATGTATATGTATCTAAATATATATACTACATATATTAATAAAATAATGTATATTAATGTGCATGTATACATATTTAACCTTTTATACATATATGTGTGTGTATTTTTATATATGTACGTAGGTATTGCATGCATATATATATATATATATATATATTAAATAAAAATATGAAAATAATTTAAAAAATCATATAATAATAAAATTCAGAGGAAAAAAAATGATACAGAAAATTTCATTATAACAAACAATTATATTATATATGTATACGTATATATATATATCCATATGCATATATACATATATATATATATATACTTATTTATGTTCATTTTATCATAATTTTTAATAAAAATCGCAAAAGTGCAGAAATCTACACATAAAAGGCAATTCTTAATATTACAAGTTTGCAATAAATTAGAAAATACATGATGCGAGTCTTGCATATATTTTTCCATGCCGGATAGGAGGCAAGCTTACTGTAAGCAGTTAAATAAATGAGTTTAGCTAGATGCGAATATTTCTTTATAATGTCTTTTTAAATGTATATGTGAAAGTGCAGTCAAGATTTAAAGGCCTTTTTCAATTCGATATTGTTCCTAATTAATTAAATATGTACAATCGAATGACAAGATATGGTAAGAAATTGGAAAACAGGCCACTCTATGACTATGAAAATAAAAATTTTGCATTCCGTTTAACTACAGTAACCTCAACTCTGTATGCGGCGAGAATTTACAATCAATATTGGTATTTGTTTATAAAACATTAATACTGCTTCTATCTAAATTTGCTATTACTTTGTTGGTAATCGATTCCAATGTTAAATTCATAATTCATGCATTCATCCTTCATTTATCCTTTATTTTTATTATTATTTTTCATGTCTTTCATCGCATAAAAACCACAAGCCAAGCAATATAATACTAGCCCCTAGAATTGACAGAGACGTTATGGGCTCTTGGTAAACGAAAACACCCAATACGAACTAAAACGAATTAAAACGATCCACATATACCGCAATTGATTGAGCAAATTATTTATTGTAATTAAATCTTACCGTTATTATATAATTGATAGCAGTTGTCAACACGGTGGTAAATAAAGTTTGCTCACTAATTTGCAAAGCTTTTATATAATAATACCAATTTAATAAATTACAAAGAATCATCAGAAGAAATGGTGCAAAATGAATTAGACAAATTCCTATGGAAATTTAAAAGCAATTTTATTGACCTGTGAAATATTTTAAAGAGTCGACTCTCACCACAATAATAACTGTACTTCTCTCCCACTATAGGTAATAATGTATCAAAAATGCTTTGTTTGGTTAAGACACTGGGCATACTGGGCATTTTACCGAAAAAACTGCCTCCAGCCGCATAACATCCTGCTAGAAAACATAAGCGATATTTAGTAAAAGAAAGCATATTATTTCACCTTTTAGTCTTGGTTCTATTGCGTTTATATCGCTTTGCAAACTATCCAATTTTAATTTAATTTTTAATGTAAAAAAAAATCTTTAAAACGTATGCGAGAACTTTACAAGCTAGTAAAATAAATAAGATGAAAAATAAAACTGTTTAAAACGGTCGAAATAAGTAAGAACGGCGAGTAGAATGTAAAAAGATTAGAGGGAACATATGCGAATAAGACTCACATTCAACGCTAAAATTCAACTTTGCAAAGCTGTTCGCAATTTTGAAGAATCCTAATAACAGCAGTGCCTAAGACAATATTTGGATTAGCAGTGCTTCGTATCAAATTGAATTTTTGTGCTAGTGAATAGGATATTAAATTAAATTTAGAATCTAAATTGTGCTGTATTCTGATTGCAGTAAAAGTTCCTGTAGACTTTTTGAAATTAACAAATGATATTGATTTTCACGTGGTGCCTGCACATAACGTTAAGAGATAGATAATGATGAATTGATTAATGCAAGAAAGTACTCTGTGGTGATCAATGCACCTTATACACGTGGATTTACATTTCAAGTAAATAGTTTAGGAATAAAGGAGTTTTCTTTGTAAATTTATATCTGTCAGACTCTGATTTTCTTCTAAATGGAATACAAATTTTTTTAGATAAAAAGATCCCTAGAATTCAATGTTCACATCTGCGTGTGGGATTTGAAACACATACCAATGCTAAATTAGCTGTTATTTTGATAACATGGTTTTTCGTTGTCATTTTCCTCCATCGTTGTAACAGATGCTTCATCTACCGAAGAATATTGATATCGTTTGTTTGATATTATTCAACAACACACAAAAAACGAAAATATATTATAAGATGGAATATGTCAGTAATAAAAATAATTATGCTTTAGATCGCGACTTCCGATGTGAAAGCAAACGTTATAAAAGCGGGCAAGGGCGAAGAATATTGTAACGAGCACAGTTGCTAAGTTTTGTGAGACATATATATGTGAGTTACACACCATGAATATGTGTGTTCAATATTAAAATATGATGCGTGGGTGGATTAGCGCCATACTAGAAACACTTTAGTGGCCTTGGTCGGTTCTGCATTTGTGTTTGCGCTCGCCATTAAAACCAATTTTTACGCTTACTTGATGATTCAAATAATTTTCTGTGCAAATTGTATGGTCTGACGCCCTTGGTTTACGACCTTATTCAGAACGTAATCAGTGGTCGCCAATTATACGTTTCTGGCAGACTTCATAAAACGTGAAAAATCTACGCTCGACTCTTCAAAGCGCAAAATAAAATAACTGCAATGTTTTTAAAGAGCTTAGGGAAAAATAAGCAAAAGTAGACGCATAAAAAAATTGTTATTCGGTTTTATTCTATGTCAAATCCATTAAATTGCATCGTAAAAGATTCGAAAAAATGTTGTGGAATAAAAACATTTATGTTAAAAGAATATATTAGTAATTACTTTCAATTCGTTTCATTTTTTATATTTTGTAGTTTTCATAAGCTAGCAACTCTGTTTTAGTGCAGAAATGATATTAGCGAGTTTTGTTATCATTTTAGCGAGTTTTGTTATCATAGAACTTAATACAACTTGTCAAAAACGATGACAAAAATAGCATAGTAGCTAAACTTGGACAATTAAACGATGGCAGTGTCCTGCACAATGTGTAATGCAAAATGAGTTTAACACATAGCTTGCGTTGCCAAAAGAAAATCATATGGTTAGCGTTTGTTTACGTAAGCATTAATGACATGCAAAATGAATAAAGCGAAAAATGTCTTTCAAAATTCACTTTTTGAAAAAAAATACAGTGATAACGCAAAAAAAATTTTTGTAAAATTTGTATAGAATTAGATAGTAATATATTTTAGTTTAATTTTTTATTTTTTAAATAAAAATGTAAATGACCAGTTTAAAACCATATTGTGCTTGAAACAGCAATCGTATGATTATGTTTTGCACAAAAAATTCTTCGCTGTTTTTTTTGACAAAATCCATGCACGCAGTAATTATAAAAGTTTGCTAAGAATTTGCTTTCACCTGCGTTCATCTACATTAAAAGGCAAACAATCATATATACATATATAATTATATTATATTTATATTTACATGGATATATTGATATATATAGATATGGGTTTCTAAGGGAGGATGTTATCCTCGTGTAAAAATGAGATAGGTATACACGTAGTTTATAGTCTCCTAGTATCTTACTTGGAATCTATTTTGTTTTATTATTCACAGCAAAAGAACAAAGTTTCTAATCAATGATTTCAGCTAAGATGTTTTTTAATACATGTAACCAATACTTATTCAATTACTCACTCTATGATCTGTTCCAAAATTAGAAGTTTTCTCTTATTCATCTTTCTGCAACACACAAGTTTTATGTTATTCGATAGTAGCTTTTAGCATTGTCCATACACATCAGATGAACCCGGTAAAGCTATGAAGTTCTAAAATTGCGCTGTTGCACCTCATTTAATTGGGCAAGAGCTTTAAGTAGTAGGAACTTGAAAAATATCAAAAATTTTCTAATGCTATCAGATTGATGTACTTAAAAAAGTATCATGTGTGTAACAATATCATCTCTCCTTTTCGTTTTAGTTTACAAAGAGAATTCTGCTGTTTCATTAAAAATGTCTATTGTGCTCCAATGACGTTTTTTTTAAAACTGCTGAGCTTGATTTGCTAGACAGCATTTCAGCTTTAGAAGAGCTTCTTGGATTTAAAATGTGCCACAACAAGCTCATGGGGAATCCATAGCTATTTCAAATACTTTTAACAAGTTATAATAGGTGTAGTGGGACGGACTATTGGCAGCGTTCAAAGATCTTTTTGCATAAGTTTCAAAATAAAACAGTACAAATGTATGGAAAGTTACGGGTGATAATATGTGCGAGCAACGTATTCCTTTGCTTTTATCCTTTCCAAATGTGCGGAATGTATGGAAAACTCAAATACTGATAAGAATTGAAGGATATTTTTAAAATGCGTAAGATTACGTTGTCGTATTAACATTAAAAATATCAAAAATTGTATGATTAGCTATAAACTATAATTATAAAAGGAAAATATAAATAAATTAAGAAAATACAAAATCATTTCGCCAGAGAAATAAATTCTAAGATAAAACTTTTAAAAAGCACCAGCATCTAAGGCTATCGGCTTTTATTAAAAGCTCTACCGCACTTGAGATTCGAACCCACGACCATTGACTTGCTAGTCGAGATTTCTCTCCTTTGGCGGATATATATAAATTTTATTTTTTTTTATTATTATTTTATTTTATTCTTAATGAATGTAATATAAGCATGGATGGACCATATGCCTTGTTATGTAAAATTCCTCGAATTTCTCGAATCGACTTTGCTTTGTATATTGCTTATAGATGCCCTAAAAATATGCTCAGAACATGAAATTCATTTTCTGAGCGTAAAATTTACTTCGCTGTACAACAATAGCGCGCGCAAGCCAAATATGAATAAAAATTAGAATATGCAACAACAACCACGTACACTAGTAGCTTTGCAGTAATAAAATATATACATGAGCTTTTTGTACGTGGCCATGTGCTCAAAGCCTATAGAGATACTCCCTCTTTCTATCTATAGAGTTTAGGCAATAGGTTTTGTTTCATGATAACTACGTTTTGCTTTCACATTGAACACTATCAGCCACTAGATGGCAATGTAAGTGTAAAATTAATATTATTTTGCGAATTTTTACTTATATTATATATATTCTTGTCAAGAATTTTTGTAAAATATTTATTGATTGGTTAATGAAATTTCTTCTAAACAAGAGTCGAAAAAGAGATATATGTATAAAATATTTTGAAAACATAATAAAGAATAATAATGGAAGAAATGCAGGAGAAATTTAGTAAGAAAGTCATATTCATTCCAAGTTTGTGTCTTTGATACGATAACGGATGATAAATGCAAATAACCCGATAAACCAAAGATTAAAAGTTAGATATAGATTCAGAAAATGATTTTGAATCGATGCTGAATTTATCGCTATAATTGAAAGTGGCCTTATCTTAAGACTTTCTGGGTGTTACATACATTTGCACTAACTTAATACTGTCCTATAGCATAAGTGATGTAGGATATAATAAAGGAAAAATCCAGCTATCATGTGTTAATTGAATACTGATTTTTTTCAATGCGAAAATTTTCCTTTAAAATTAGCATTGAACAGAATAGCGTTAGGGTGTCGTTTCGCTGTCCGGTCGATTGCTGATTTTAAGCGGCATCATTAAATACATCACGATAAACGAGCAAAAGTGGCCGCTACATCAGCCACCTCATCACTTTTTCTCGATAATCGAAAAGTGAAGTTGCAAGTTGAGGATGCTTGGCTTTCTCTAAATATTACTATTTTCCGTGATATGAGAAAAGTGTCTTCTGAGCGGGTGTCTTCTAAACGACATTTGATCACGGTTTTGTGGAACATATACGTCAGTGGGCAAAGCGATTGCGTGTTCTCTCAAAAGAATTATCAACACATACACAAGATAAGGTCATTGCGGAAATTCAAGCGTGTTTTGACTGCTTTGATAGCAAGTAAGAAATTTGTATTCGAGGGGAGTCGGTGACGGTTAGAAAGAAGACGAATTGAACAAATGAAAAGACATAGGTAGATTGCTGCGGTCTAATGGTCCTGTATATCCGGTAAGTGTTGTGCCTTTTTGCAACTAAACACTCACTATAGCTACGGCGAAAGTGAACTCTAGCGTACTGAGATTCGAATCCGCGCATTTTGACTTATTAGACGCGGTTCTTACCTACTCGGCTACACTATACAGACGGACAGATTCAGTATTTGATTCTGTATATATATATATATATATTCTCTATACCCTATATGAGGAATGCGAAGCTTTCTGCTTCTGTTCCGAATGGTTTAATAAAGCAGAACTGTATACTTCAGTTATGGGTATAAGAAAGATATCGATATGTTAGAGAATTGTTGAATTTTTTGTGTCATCATTGAAGGCGACTGTATTGATAATTCAAAGTAAATTTTATAAAACAAACTGCGGATGTTGTTGCCCGATATATTATTATTATTATTATTATTTTCATATAATTTTTAATGTAACATAAAAGGTGAACGGGAGATAAAGAATTTAATCTATAATGGATTGAATTTTCTTACCTATTTGCGTTGTTGTGTTGCATAAAATAGCAGTCAAGATTGAGGAAAATTTACACTCCGTGATGGATCACGTTAAATTGCCAAGAGCAATATATTATAAAATAATTTTCTATATAAAGTTAAAGTGATCTGCAAACATAAGCATAAACATTTTTAAAAAGACAATAATCGTATAAAGTGGCACGCTCCATAATAGCTTCTTTATAGCGCGCATGGCTGTGTGCGTGGCCATGGGCGAAGGACATTTATTCGGATACGGGTGACAAAAGCATATTGACAACAAAAACAACAAGCCTCAATTTAATGTATCATGTATAATTTTCATAATAAAAAACAGCCTTCTTGTGAATGTGGCCGCGCACATCTTTGAAGGGAAAAGAGAGAGAGAGAGAGAGAGAGAGAGATAAAAATATGACCAAATTCATATTTTCCGAATCGTATGTTATTATATGTAGTTGTCATCATTATTTATAAAATGATGGGTAAACTTATCTGCGAGTGTTACTTTTCTGTGTTGTTGTTGTTGTTGGCGGTTTTTTTTTTGTTTTGTTTTTTTTGGTTTTTTTTTTTCTTATAGATGGACACCCTGCTTAGCGGCGTGTGTCGAGTGTTTTGATTTGTAACGTTTGTCACTTTACTATTAGACAATACATTATTACATAATAAACAACGCATGCATGAGAAGTTCAAATAACATAAAATGAAAAGGCGAAAATAACTGGGTGAAGTTATAAAAAATGCAGTGGGAGATGAATAGAAAAAATGTACGGAACTTGGGAGGATATGTGTTTAATTTGTCCTCTACGCTCGATGGAAGTAATAAGGCGAACGCTTCATTGCCAATATAACATAATTTTGTTTGAAGACCTCAGGCATATAAGGTATATGTGTAAGTGCATGCAATATGTAAGCATTGACAGAGATAAAAAAAAAAAAAAAAAAAAAATGATTCATTTAAATAATATCCGC